TTCATTATAAACCTATTTACTTTTTGCCAGTAAACCTCTGCCACTCTCACTGTAGATTTGTTCCCTCAAGAACCCTCAAATTAGTTATCTGGGGCTAAAAAGGGAAGGTGGCGGAGAACAGTCTTCATGCAAGTTCACAGTTCTCTGGACTCAACTCAGTCTCAGCATTACAGTTTCTGCCCCTATCCTGTAAATACTAATAAAAGGAGAAAAACACCATTGCCCAATACTATCCTCATAAAAAGCACAGTTTTGAACTGAGAGATCTTACATTTTCCCAAATGCCTAGCTACCTAAGAACATAGTAATCTGAATGTTTTCCTGCTTTGTTTAAACAATAACTTCTCAAGCAACTCTTAAGTCACAAGAATTTTATGTGTGAAATGTTCTGACCTAAGGTGAGTCATCCAAAGAAAGCTGGACAATTTCATAATACAGAAATGGTTAGTTATTTAAGAATTAGCCCTGATTGTTTGTGAACAGTTCTATAAAAAGATCTGCATATGAAGAAAATTTGTGTCTATGTTACTATAGAACTAGCTTTGATAGCTTGGTAAAAGATTTTCCCAGAAGCACTTCAAGATCAGGGGGTGAAAGGACCAACCCTGCAACAAGGCCACAAATCTAAGAACAAATTTAACCATGTTAAAAATTTATATTATACCCCACCATGTGTGCAAGAATGTTTATGGTGTAGGAAAAAGGAAGAAAATCTAAAAAAGAAGTGGTTTAGGAAAATCTTTTATTTATTTGAGTATATTTCTTTGCTACCTTTCCAGGACAAGGCTGTTCTGGAAGGTTTGCAACAACCTTCAGCAGAATAAAAACATGAGAAAAATAAAAATCACACAACAAATCAGTTCAGCAGCAATAGTTTAAAACTGGAAGATAGCATAAAACTTCAGCAAGCAATAAAACACCACTTCAGCCAGAAAGAACTTCAAAAGCCAGAAAACTGTAGCCCCAATTAAAAAAACAAAAAAAAAATGCAATGGCCAGCCACCACCACACTGGAAGATGGTCTGGAGTAAAACTCAAAAGCCTGGGGAAACAAAAATATCTTAACCTGGAACCTAACAAGCAAAAGGGTAAACACTAAGCAAACCAGAGAGGAGAGCATCCTACAGCAGAATGCCATTAACAAAAAAGCCCCATTTCTGATTGCCACCTACTTCACCTATGTGTGGATGCTGCCATACAAAACCTTAAGAGGCAGGCAGGATGATACAGGAGAAGATGGTCCTTCAAATACACAGGTTCTGAACAATTCAGGGCTTTAAAGGTGAGAACTAGCATTCTGAATTGTGCCAGGAAACAGTTATGCAGTCATTGCAAGTTTTTAATATACCACAAATGGGCCCCCCAGAAAGACCTGTGGGAGGGGGAGGGGGGTCTCACTTCCCCTTCCCACTATTTCTTCTCTCTCTTCCTGGAAAGCTGTGATGGCCTTTCCCTGCTTCTTTTTCTCCTTCATTCACCAGCCAACCTGCCCATTTTCAATTTTCCCTCCTTCACTTCTCAGCAGCCTCTGTCTAGGAAAACTACGTCCAAGTTGCACAGCTGCAATGCCAGGGAACCTGCAAGGACTTGCATGAGGCACCTTACTTTCCCCCATATCCTTTGCTTTTATTATTGGGGGGAAGGGTATCCCCTCCCCATTTTTTATTAAGATTTCGTATTTTTCTGCAAACCTTGGGTGTTCTTTGTAGAAAGCTCTGTCTTATCTATTCATGGCTTCAGTCTGTGGGTTTAATCGCTTATAGAACTGGATATATTGACAAAGAAAAGAGGAAATGCTTTGGGAAGGGGGATATAGGAAAAAGTGAGGTGCCCCCACAAGTCCTTGCATATTCCTCACCACACAATTGGGCCTGGTCCAGCAGCCGGCACCATACAGAGTTTTCCCAGGGACAGGGTGCCAGAGGGAGGGGAAAGGGGAAAGCTGAAGACAGGGGGGCAGAAAAATTTAAGTTGCCTGGTCAGTGGAAGGAGAGAAGAAAGCAGGCAAGAGGGAGATGCTACAGGGGCTTTTAGAGAATGGAAAGAGATTTCCCCTCCTTGCCAGTCCATGGGGATTCCCTGCTTGTATCTTATAATGCTGCAGTCACATATAATCAACCAGTCAGAAATTAAATGTGTTTCATGTCATGATTATTTCTCTTGCATTAAACAATACACTAGCATATACAGCACAATCCATCCAGATTTAAAAGCAGTTGAGGCTCAATTATTTCAACAGAAGAGAATGAGGCATGTGCTTAACATCTGCTCTGAAATTAATGGAATGTTAAAGTGCTTAATTCTGACTGGACTGTGCCCACTGAATTCTAAAGTAAACCAGATTCTTTGAACTGATAGCAAGTAAGATACTAGTATACTGAACATAATAAAATGCATAAATTTTGCCATTACTGATGAGACTTAAGAATGATTATGTCATGGTCAGTGGCAGAAAAAGCTGGTGTGGTATACAGAAGAAGAAGGAGGAGGGGGAGGGGAAGGAGGAGAAGGAGAAGGAGAAGAAGGAGGGGGGAGGAGATTGGATTTATGCCCCACCCTTCACTTGGAGTCTCAGAGCAGCTTACAAACTCCTTTCCCTTCCCCTCCCCACAACAGACACCCTGTGAGGTGGGTGGGGCTGAGAGAACTCTTGACACAAACGGCTCTTTCAGGAACAGCTGTGCCAGGGCTTGTGACAGACTCAAGGTCACATCAGCAGGTGCAAGTGGAGGAGTGGGGAATCAAACCCGTTTCTCCCAGATTAGAGTCCGCACACTTAACCACTACACCAAACTGGCTCTCAGATGGGCATGTTGGCCAGGGTGTGGACAATTCAGTTTCAACTGTAAAGCTTACAATCTCCCAATTTACCTCAGAGGATGCTTGTAGCTAAAAAAACTCATGCTGGCTTCTTGGAAGAGAAGATACAAAATTAATTTAAAAGCTACAGACAAGAGAACTCTGAATGGATGCTGCACCACTGGAAGTTCACTGGCTCTCAAGAATAAAAAGGACATACCAATCTACTGCCTAGCTAAAGCTGCCTATAAAAGAAATCTCATTAATACCTTGTCGAAGCTGCAACATTGCATGACTCCAAGATGCTCTCCATCATCTCTCGGGGCTCGATATCTTGTTTATATTCTGGGTCCTCCATATTTTCTTCTTCTTCTGGCAGTTCTGGCTGGTCAAGCTTTACATCATCATCCAACAGATCGTTTATCTTTTTAAAAAAATCAGTAAAATTAAATGTCCCCAAGAAAATCAGATTAGTAACACCTTAAATCTTTGGGGAAAGTGTGATTTATTGTAGTCTATGGTAGAGGAACAAGCAGAAATAAATTTAGGTTGCCTGAGAATTTTGTAGTATAATGTATAAAACCCTCTTATGAATAACAGGGGGGGAAACTGAAGCTAAGGAATAGGCAAGGCTGAGGAAAACTGAACCAAAGCAAGACAGGAGAGTGGAGTGCTTGGAATGAAGATAAAACTGTACAAGAACTGGTCAAGTGGAATGACAGTTTAAAAGCCCAGGCAAGTGAAGTCAATAGGAAGGGAACAGCAAAAGAAGACAAACAGCAGGAGACAACCCAGACAAGTGAATTCATAGGTCCATACAGCCAATGATGGTGTGACCTTCTGGAGACTCTTTTTGCACAGGAGCCAAAGTTCAGACACTTGACATGCTACACCCACAGGTCTAGGTTATGCCTTTTGAGGCCAAAAAGTGATCTGCAGTTACTGTTGTTGAAAGAGGCAAGTACCTCTGTAAACTGAACAGTGGCTTGCTTTTCTAACACAGGGAAACCTATTCATAAAATTAAAGGCTTACTTGGACACATTATTTCCATAACTTTGGACTAAGTTCCAAATGTTACAATGTATCAACCAAGTACATAATTAACAAAAATAATTTCTGAAGCACCATTCTTCATCATGTACATGTACAGAGGGTGCACGAATAAACTGTAGCTTTCATGTTCATGATATAGTAATTCTTGCTGCCAAAGAAGTAAGCTATATTTCAGTCAAGATTCTGTGTAAATTTCAAACAAGGTTTTGTGCCTACAAATTCCATATTTTGCTCCATTTGCTTCCTCAGATCACAGCACATTCTCTAGACTGATTAGGAAAGAAAACCAGAGTTCATAACAATTAAAACTGGGGGGGGGGGGCTGTAGCTCAGTGGATGAGGTTCTGCTTTGCAAGCAGAAGGTCCTAGGTTCAATCTCAGGCATCTCCAGTTTAAACGACCAGGCAAGAGCTGATGTGAAAATCCTCTACCTGAGGCCCTGAAGAACCACTCTCAATCTGAGTAGACAATACTGATTTTGTGGCAATCCAAAATGAAGGTTTGCTAGTAAGTCAAGAACATAAGTGTAAACTAGTGCCAATAATACATTTTTTATTTACAGCAAAGTATTTTATTAAACGAAAACAGTACTTTGATACTCTTACCTGCTCAGTTATTGAACTTAAATCATTAGATGAGAAATCCTCCTCTTCATTTTCAAAGAGCTCATCATAATTCTCTAACAGTCCTGCCATAACTCTGCTAACTAGTTCTTGCTCTTTCAAATCCTCCACATCTGTGTAAATGCTAAGAAAAAATGCAAGAATAAAGTTTAGGATTTCCAAAATGTATTTTCCAAAGGTTACTAATAGTTGCCTGCTCTAAGGATATTTTTCCCCTGGGGGGCCTAAATGCACATTCTGCAGATTCTGAGCTTGTGTGTCCAACTGTATGTCTCTCCTCTTTGTTCCCAAACTCATAAGTGTCATCAAGAATAGTTTCATCTTCAACCTTTCCAGATGAGGAAACCACCTGTATCCCACAGGTAAAAGTCTTAGGAACCAATCAGCTACAAGCATGTGACAGGAAGTCATGTAACATCATAGTCTCATGGTATCAGAATAACAGGACAAAGAAGGGGCCAAAGTTATGACCTACCTCACTAGTCTCAGTGCCAGAACTATGCCAGCAATGTAAGAGAACGAAGGACATTATAACACAAGCTAAGCACTAGGTGGTGTACTACAGAGGAACAAACCAACACAAGTAGATTCAGAAACCATCCTCCCTGCAAAAGCTCTCCCTTGTCTTTTTTCTACCTTTCCCCATGTCCAGCCACGCCTACCCCCACCAGGCAAGGGAAACCTTTCGCAGGGGGTTATGAACCTGCCTGTTCTAAAAAGTAATCTTCACTGAAGAACAGTCTCATCTTGCTCATCTCAGCATATATATGAAGACAAATGAGGCATGGTGTTCCGGCTCTGTATGCATACACCTTAGCAGACGGTTCTTCAATAAAACAGCCAACAAAGCGGCTCTATAGGGGCTTGTAACTCACTAGCTGCAACTCTGTGATCCACCTGAGGATCAAAACCCATGGGATGAAGACCAGTGTGTTCCAGAGCAGCTTCCAGCACTGCACGATGAGCTACAAATGACAGCAGCCTCAATATGTGTACAGAAGCACTTGGTCACATTAATTAATCTTGGGATAATAGGCACAGTAAACAGGAACCCTATTTTTTTTTAAAAAAAAACTTATATTCCACTTCCATATAATTTTCTATTATAATACAAAATGCAGTGTTCAATAATACACATTAAAATAAGTTAAAAATTTAAGCAGCTTGTAAATTAGTATAAAAGGGTAGCCACTGTAGAGTAGAAGAAGGTTAGTTTTATACCCCACCCTCCACTACTCAAAGGAGTCTCATAGTGGCTTACAATCTCCTTCCCTTCCTCTCCCCACAACAGACACCCTGTGAGGCAGGTGGGGCTGAGAGAGCTCTGAGAGAGCTGAGACTGACCCAAGTCACCCAGCTGGCTTCATGTGGAGGAGTGGGGAATCAAACCTGGATCTCCAGATTAGAAGCTGCTGCTCTTAATCACTGCACCAAACTGGCTTTCTATTGGAGTAGTGATTAGAGCACTGGACTAGGACCTGGGAGATCCAGGTTCAAATCCTCACTCTGCCATGGAAGCTTGCTGAGTGACCCTGGGCCAGTCACATACATACACACAAACCTACCTCGTAGGGTTGACGTAAGGATAAAACAGAAGAGAAAAATGTAAGCCACTTTAGGTCCCCATTTGGGGAGAAAGGCAGGGTATAAATTGAATAAATAAAATAAAACTTGATTTTTATATTAAAGAGTTGAAAACATTTAATAAACAGTGAACTTTGGGGTAACCATTTTGATCAAATGTGCTTACTGCAGCAACCTAAACAACAATAAAACAAATTTTATGCAGAGAAAACTAAAATTTGTTCTGCAAATCTCCCTGAGTTTAATTAGTTTACTGCTGATAACTGTTGACCTTTTAAGTGTGTGTTGTTGTTGTTTTTTTTCCAGTAATTTAACTGTCAAGTTATTTAGAAAAGGTCATAATGATTACTGCAAAGCTGCATTAAAAGCAGATAACAAAAGTCTGTAGTATCTAACTTACTGAAAGACATCGGGACCAAAAACTGCAGCCAAAGAACTTGCAGACCAAGTCTCTTCATGATGTGATGCTACATTAGCTAAAAATCTACACAGAAATTTTAACAAACTGTAATTAAGAGGTGGAAGCTGCTGCAAGAGGAACCTCAACTTTCTTCCAAATTCATCTTCATTATAATCTGTAAAGTATAATGGAAGAATTGTTAATCAAATTGTATGCAAGCAGCTAAGCAGTACCTTTTAATATTTATTTAATACAAGTTTCATTTCAGTAGCATCAAAACATATGAAATCAAGAATTTATTATGTTTATTTGGCAATGCTGATTTCAAACTTTAAATCTAATCTTGAACAGCATGTAAGCGTTCTCATGTACATATTACAGACCTGCTTTCCAACTTATGTACTCTTCTGCCTTCCCATACCACTTGTCACTTCAACAAGACTTTCTATACATACCAGCTCTAATTGTTTCCACTTATTCCCAAAATCATGCTACCAGTCAGTGCACAAAGAGAGATTATACACAGTTGCTGTAAAATGGATCTACACAGCCCTGAACAAAGGATTTCTTTTCATATATATATATATATATGAGATTCAAATGCCCCATCTCACAACACCCAATTTTGCAACCATTCAGATTTTACTTTTAAAACTGTCCTTACCATATATTAGTCAATTGTGCTAACCACAACCAGAGTATTGACATGCGTAAGAGCAGCTAATTTGGGGTAATGAACGATCTGTCTTTTGCAGGAGACATACTAGAACCATGTTAGCTACCTTTGGAAAACATACTCCTGTAGACGGACTGTAATTTGTTTCCCATGGGCAGAGGACCACAAAAATATCCTTGGGAAACTAATGTCTGTACATAGACCAGTGAAAACAGGTTCCTTATCCGTAATTATTTTCTTCAAGTGGTCATGTCTGCCATCACACATGAGTTTTGTACCTGAGAAGAAGCCACTCAAGAAAATTCTATTTTATTCTTAAAACTGGTGATCAAATCCCCTCCCTTAAAGGGACACCAGAGACACTGCGTGAGGTGGCAAAATCCAGTTGGAAAGTGCATTGAAAGTGAATTGAAAGTGGATTATTTAGTGTGTGTGACCGCAGCCCAGGACAGACTTCATGGCACTCTTCTCAAGAAGGGAGGAAAGTGCATTCTATAAAGGCTTTAATAAACTGGCACAAAAGTTGTGGTGTAGAAGAGACGTGTCAAACTCAATGGCATAAGACCCAAGAGTCTGTGATGTTAAGACTCCCAAGTCAGCAGAAACAGTTTGAGTCTGGTTCCTATTGGACAGAAGGTTGCGAGAATATGAAGCAGCAAGCTGGATGAGTCAAAGGCTATGTTTAGCTTTGGAAGAAATTTTGGTATTGCCATACTGCTTGTAGTGCAGATAGTATTGATACTTGGTTGTGAATGGTTACATATGGAAAATCCATGGCAAGCTAGGTCTGCAGGAGACAGCACGTCACACTTGCAGGTGGACACAGGGATTGACGGAAAGCCAATTCTTATTGTTACTACTTCTAGACTACTTCTTCATGCCACCAGTTGAGAATCACTGACCTAGCAGATACACTTCAGGTGGCCTTTTCCACCTGTTGTCCCTTATGCCTGGAACTCCGTTATAATCCTCTCCTCAAAACCACTTTTCCATGAAGCCACTGGTACAACCCCTTAGTCTCTACTGAAACCAGGCACAAGTACATGTCACTGGACACATTCACCTCTCACATTCACCTTCCTTCCCTGCTTCTTTCACCTCCCCATGTCCAATTTTAGACTGTAAGCTCTCCACGGTAGGGACCTAACCTCTTATTAGTCCATAAAAGTGCCATGTCCACTGATAGCAGCATATTAATACATTATACTAAAAAAGCACATTAGATGTGCTACCATGATTTACCAGATTACACAGGAGAAAAGAGGTCTTGTGCTACAGTTTGTCTTTCATATTCCTAGTTATGTACTGTGTAGCACACATTTATCTTCAAACCTTCTGTAATGTATGCTGTAAAATACTAACAGCAGAAATACAAGACAAATGTTTCTAGTCATCAGGTAATGGACTGCTTACTGCAACACTAAGCTAAAGAGGCGAGAAACTCAGAAAAGTGTGTATAAGGGGGCAGAACATAGATTTTTGTAGCAATGTAAACAAAGAAAAAAATGAGTACATACATGCTCATCATAACTTTACATAAGAAAGGTGAACTGAAAGTGTGAAATCACAGTTAAAGATAGACTGAAGTCCTATGGTACTCAAGGACTGGTAACACAAAGACATGTCAGACCAGCAAAGAAAGTAAGAATATTTTCACATAGATGTGAGTAGCAGAAATTGTCTGAATGAACACAGTGCCATCTTTTATATTGCCACTGCTCCCAGATCTGTGAACAAGATCACCAAAAGAGGAAAAACAACAGTGAAAACTGCTCATCTTCTCAATATGACTATACTTCTAGAGAGGGCAACCGATCTCCACCATCACACAGCTTCCATACTTGGGTTTTATGCAAAGGATAATAACCCAATTTGAACAAACATCATATACTATGTGTTGGGGGGGGACAGGATTATACCTACACATTCCTGTCCCTTTCCTCCAACATGCATAGCATTTAAATTAGTTCAAACCAAGCCAAAAGTTGCAACAAAGTTCTCTGCAAACATATGGAATGACACAGTGGGGGGAAACAGTCATTTATAAAGTATCTGATTTGATCATTTCTTGAAGCTATTTAAATTTTATTAAGATTATTCCACTACCTTGAGAAAGCTGTATCAAATGCATATGTAGAGTACCAGGAATAACTGGTTCTGGAAGTGCTTGAAGAAAAAATCTAAGAAGACTAATAGCTGAAGGTACATCTGCTTCTTTAACCAGGTCCACATCTTCCCCATTATCATATCTTTGCCGAAGCCACTCAACTGTTTCTGCATTCCCATTGACTTGAAAAAGTCCCTCTTGCTCTAGACCTCCTTAAATTAGAAAGAAAAAACAAAAAAAATTAAATTCATTACTCCATCTGGAGTTCAAGGAGCTATGGCAGGACTGTAATGTTTTGAGCAAATAAATAACTCAGTATAACGCAAGAAGTGACAGCAGCAGCAATATAATAAGAGATGGGACGTCTGTTGGAAGATAGGCCAGTTTTTCAGGTACTACCTAGCTAGATGACCATCTGCAGTTACTACTATAAAGCTCCACTATTCTACAGAAACCTTTTTTCCTATATGAAAAGTTTACTAAATATTCCACCCAAAGCAAACAAGGTAAGATGCATACCACCCGCCACCAATGAAAGCACTCCTCAGTCAATAAGAATATTTTCTCAAAACCAAACAAGGGCTGCAGTTCTGGTAAAACTGCCACCACGTTAATACAGCAAAAGTTAAACTTAAATCTTTTGTTGCTGTATTGATTTTATTGTATTGATTCTACTTTGCAAGCCAACTTGACCAGATGTCAAAAGTTAATGTGCTCTTTGAGCGGATGACAGGTTGGTCAAGAAAGAAACCACACAGTGCTGGAGTGTGAATCCTCAGAATCCCAGAAGGTAATGTGCTAACACCAGTCCCCTTAACTAACACACCAGCCAGCAATCAAGGGACTGTCTCTAGCCCACCCAGGTTTAAGATCAAGAAGTCAACCCTGCAAGGTGCGATGCTTGCAATATGAGTTCCAAAACAGTTAATCTGGTAGCTGAAGCCAACAGAGTAAAGTACTAGATTCAGATTGAACCCCCACACCCAAGAACACCAAAAATATAAATGGTTATTAAAAGACTGTGCAGGAATATACACTGTAAGAGCGGTGAACAGTAAGGTTCAAATAATAAAAGCTTAATATCTAAACTAAGCACATTTACAAGCATTGGATTTCTTCATCCAGATGTTACCTAACAAGACTGAGCAACACAGTTTCAAAATCCAAATTCCAAAGCAGGTGTTTCAGTCATCATGTCCCACCTGGTCTAGAATCAAGAAGTATCCCAAAGAACGATGTGATCCAGGCAAAGGGCAAAAACTAAAGATAAACAGGTTACTCAACTGTAACTGATAATCTTCGAGTGGTGCACTGTCACACACTGGGTTTGTTGCAAGTCACACACTGGGTTTGTTGCAAGAACACAATCAGAAATGCAAAGGTAGACTTCCGGTTTTCGGTGCTTCAACCATGGCTGCGTCTCTTGGCTCCTCCAAGAGACGTGTCCCATGAATTGGGGATTAGGAGGGAGTGTGATTGTGCTCCTAGCCAGGGGGCTTTGGAGAGCCCTACCTCCGGCCGTCAGCCTGTACGGGGGGCTGCTCTCTGCCCCGAAGGTCTTGCCCTGATTCCTAGTATTGGATTCGAAGCGACCACCGGGACAAGCGCTTGGAGGTTTAGCGATTCTCTCTGCTTGGCGTGATCCCAGGGGCCATCTCAGGACCTGGTGGATCGATTCAAGTACCGATGAGTGATTTTTCGTTGAAACGAGACACCAAAGCCTAGATGTGAAGTCCCCCTACTATAAGTGTGTGGGGGGGAATGCCCTATCTCCCGACGTTTTAAGCGAATGCGAAAGCATGATTGGAGGGACATCAAATTGCAGCAATGGACTGTAGCGGAGTTTTTCTGAAAAAAAGCTGAGCGTTTAAACAGACCTTAGAGACTTTGGCATTCTTTCTCGGCTAATGTAAACATCCCCAAAATATGGCGACGAAAGGCGAAGAGGGAGATGGAACCAATGTTTTCTTCAGGAACAGTGACCTAACCATAGACTGTCTTTAAAGTGAATTGTGGGCCCCCTGGTGGCTAAAGTGGAGTAGTGACCTGGATCTGTACTAAAAGTGGCTATATTTTTAAAGGGACAGTATTTGGTGCACACTTTGATCATAGAAACTTATGAATGGTAAGGAGATTCTAAAGTTTAGTTTTCTTGCGGTTGGATTGCAAAGCGGATCAAAAAGCAGTTTTTTGGAGTAAAGGGCTGGTTACCCCAACTTCACAAGATCTGCTTGCTAAGAGAAAGGCTGGATTCTCCAATGAGCATGTTTTTAATGCAACAAAAGGAAGGACTCTTTTGATTCAAGACGTTTAAGGAAGCGAAGCTGTCCCTGGAAAAAGGAACTTGGTTTATATCACGAATGGACAGATCCAGACTTATAAAAGCTAAAAGTTAATTGGAAAAAGAAGATACATCTAAGACGGGAGAAGATAAATTGTTGTAATGTTCTTACTGAGGGAACATTGGTTTTAAAGATTTTGCCTTATGGGGGGGGGAGCAAAGCATAAAAGGAGATGCCAATTTTTCTTAAGGGCTGTGTTTATGTGTGTTCTAGCTTTGGAATTACTTTATGTCTAGTCTGATAAGCTGGTTTTGTCAACAGAAGTGATGATTGGCAGACACTCTTCATGTTTGAAAGTAACTGAATAAGAGTAACAACTATGTTTTAAACATTGTAAAACCTCCACACTTGGGTTTTTAGTTAGGTTCTTTTTACTTTTTCCTTTAGATTGTAGAATTTTCCCTTCCCAATTTCTGTTGTAGTTTTATAGAAATGCAAATAAAAAATTCCCCTTGGGGGGGCCAAAAAAAGAAAGAAAGAAAAGAAATGCAAAGGTAAATGTATGTGGCTAAATACCACAATTTTGTAATTTTTTAAAATGAGAAATGGATTTTAGGACCACTTCGCCAAATCTGGTGTCCTTCCTAGCCTTTACATCAAGAGCATAATACCTTGCAAATGTGGAGGATGAAGACCATGTTGCTGCCGCACAAATGTCCTCCAATGAAACCCCTGCCATAAATGCCGAAGAAGCTGTAGGTGGACAGGTTAAGGTCTCCCCGCTAAGCGATAACACAGTTCAATTGCAGAGGAGACTCATATAGAGAAACGTTGTCTGGAAACCGGCAAACCTTGTAGTGGCTTCACATAACAAACAGGTGGGTATCTTTTCTGATAGTGTCCTTGATAAGTAAAAAGCTAAGGCACGACAAACATCTAACATATGTAACACTTTTTGCCCCTCATCTCCTGTTGTAGAAAAAAAGGAAGGTAATGTTATCATCTGAGCTAAATGAAAGGGGGAGACCACTTTAGGAAGAAATGAAAGGTCAAGTCGTAGCACCACCTTATCCTGACGGAACAGTGTGTATGGGGGAATCCGTTCTCAATGCACAAAGTTCACTAGCCCTGTGTGCTGATGTGAGAGCTACCAGGATCGCCATCTTCCAGGACACGAGTTGGAGAGAAGTCGAACCCACTGGCTCAAACAGTGGTTTGATCATCTGAGCCAAAACAAGGGATAAGCTCCACGTCGGTACCAGTGGTTGTTTGGGGGGGGGGTTAACATTTAGGAGACCTCTAAGAAAGGTCTTGGCAGTAAGGTGGGAGAAGATACTCCTGCCACTGTGCAACATGTGGTGAGCCGCTATGGCTGCCAAGTGGACTTTGACCGATGAGAAGCTCAGGCTGGATTGGTGTAACTTGGTCAAATACATTAGGATCAATGCCAGAGAAGCACTGGTAGGACTGATATCATTCTCAATAGCATAGGTTTTTTGCGAAAGAACATCCCCAGCAGGAGGGTGTCTGTAGTGGCCCACCACCGAAGGGATTTTAATATCTTCACTGGTATGCATACCCCTGAGATAAGGGTGTACCGTGACCGGGTTGTGATTTCGAAGAAACCATAACTGCAACGGTCTCATTCACAGTTTGGTCATAGGTACCACCGCAGTGGTGGAGGCCATGAGTTCCAGTAATCGTTGAATTGTCTTGGCTGTTTGAATCCGACAGGTGATTTCTGCTACTGTTTGTAGAGTGATGGCTCCGTCCATTGGAAGAAATGCTCTTGTCAAAGTGGAGTCCAGCAATGGAGTTAGTGATGACTTGTCCTGGCTTATGCAAAGGCCCAATAAATTCAGAAGGTTGAAAGTCTGTCCAATGTCTATCCAAAGCTAGTCTGAGGAAGGGGCTACCAGGAGCCAGTCATCTATGCAGGGAAACACAGTCATTCCTCGAGTACATAGGGCTGCTGCAACCATTGCCATGCACTTTATGAAAACCCAGAGGTGCTGTGGAAATTCCGAAAGGCAATGCTCTGTATTGGTAGTGGGATCATCCCACTACAAAACGTAGATATCGATAATGCTGTCATGGTATAGTTATGTGAAAGTATGTGTCCTTGAGGTCTATGGGTGCCATCCATGCACCTGATGGGTAGGAGTGGAATAATGGAATTCAGTATCAACATTCAGAACTTCGTTTTTCTTGAAGTGTTTGTTCAGTCCCCGAAGATTGAGAATGGGTCTCCTATCCCCATCTCTTTTCAGGACAATAAAGTACCTTGAGTAATAACCTTGGCGGTGTTGTGACTGTCGTGCGAGTTTGATGGTGCCTCTTTCTAAAATACTGTGCACCTCCTCTAGAAGCAGATGTGATGGGGGTGTGAGCACAAGATGTGACATTGGGGGTATGGATTCAAATTCTATCACATATCCCATCCATACAATAGTGAGAACTCACTGGTCATTGGTAATGCCTTCCCAAGCATTGACATTTTCCCACAGATGGATTTGTGGTGTTGGTTGCAACTTGGGTTCCTGAAGAGTAAAAGAGATTGTTTTGATTGGTGACCAGCTCGTTTTTGAAGATGTTGGCTTGGCTTTGGGCTGGTATGGTTGTTTGTTATAAAGTTTGTCAACATTTCCATGATTCAGATGGAACCGGGAATTAGGGACAGCAAGAGTACAGTAACTTCAATGACTTTTGTCTAGGGAATTCCTGGGTTGATCCTGTAGCAATGCCTAAGTTTTTCGTGCATTTCCAATTCTCATCCACCATCTTTAGTGCATTATCTGCAGTGGTGTCTGCTGTGGTGTGGAAAAGTCCATTCCCATCTTCGATTTTCTGTTTGACATCTGGCTGTAATGAGGGTGACCTGAGCCACGCATGTTGTCTGAGTGCAATCGATGTCACCATAATTCAGAAAAAGCATCGTATCGTGTGTCTCACTGTTGTTATCTGCTGTTTTGTGGCCCTATGAGATTACTGGAGCAGGGCCATAACCTCTGGATTGGCATCGGTCTGGGTAGTGGACAATAATGCCTCCAAGTTGTTTGAAATGGTGAAGTTATATGCCGAGAAGTAGGATATATATGTTTGCATTTTGGATGCCATCAAAGTAGCAGAATACATCTTCTTGGTCATGCTGTCTATTTTATGCCCTTCTCTATCAGGGGGTGCTAGATGATGGGCCTGTTTAGTCTTTGAAGATGAGTGTACCATCACCAAATTTGGTTCAGGGTGAGATTGCAAAAACTTAGCATCAGCACTCTGCACTTTATACATGATTTCGTACCGTTTAGGCACTGCTGGTGTAGATGTTGGTTTCCTAATGTCTTGGAGATGTCACTGATGTAAGCTGGATTCCTAATGTCTTGGCCATGCACCGGAGTAAGTCCAAAAAAACCTTTAGTATTCTGAATGGAGAAGAGATCGCCCTTTATCACTTTCTGGCTCCATATGAGCCATGCTGTCTTCCTCCACCTGGGAACCTGAACTCTCCAATTTTATGTCAGAATTTTGAGTATTATTCAGCCCCATTTCGGAACTCACGACCACATGTGCAGAAGATCTACCTATCTGTCCTGCACTATGAAGGTCATTAGGATGCCTTTCAGATGTTTGGGTGTTTACTGCATGGTCCCAAGCTCTAGCTGAGTGAAAGCAACCTGATCTATGATGTGGGGATTGTATCGCTGAGATTGGGATCGGGACCGAGATCTGGAACATCTATCGTACTCCGTCGTAACAGAGATCTAGAGTAGAACCGCTCATAATAGGTGTGGCGGCAGCTAATGCCATGATGGTAACTTGACAGTCTCAGCTCCCTGGAGCGGCAACTCCACCGTCCTCCATTTCTTTGGTGCTCCAACGAGGACTCACTTGTTGACCAGCATGACTCTGACAGGGATTGATTTCCTTGGTATTCTTGGGTTCTCCCTTTTGGAGAATGCATTAATGCAGGAGTTGGTGTCGAGGAGCGCGAGACACAGTCATCTTCTGCCAAAACGAGCAGTGGCAGGACCAAGTGGACAGACGGGGGATGAAATGTCATCACCAGCTCTTGACCCTGTGGTGGATCTTGTTATGTAGCTTACTGAGGTAAATCGATGGATATGAGGCTGTCAATTACAGCAAGGAAAAGAAACACGTCCAGCAAGTTGGTAAGGAAGGGATTGGGGTGGGGGTGGTGTTTGCCTCAGTTCCAGGCATGCGCAGTGGATGCCTGCTCCCCGGGGACTGGGACAAGCCCTGCCCAGAAGAGGTCTGTCTTTAAAGCTTTTAAAACTTCTGGAGAGGGTCTGGCGCGAGCGCAAAGCCCAGTGTGTGATCTGCACAGAGACCACAAAAAAGACCTTTCTTTATGCCAAACAACCAGCATTGGAATGATTCTAGCTGACCAATCAAATATACAGCAAAATTTAGTAACTTAACCAATCAGGTAGATTGCTAACCAGGTGACTTAGTCAATCAGGTATATTGCCATCATGAGACCATGTACTCTGCAACTGTACAGTGGCTAATTAAGCAAGCACCTTCTCCCACCCATAGGTCCTTGCACTAGTGAGATGGAATGTGTAGGTGAAGTTCCTCTCCAGATTCTTTGGCCTTGAAACTGCAAGGCCTAATGGTCTAGCCAATACTTGAGTGGACTCCCTTCTGTCCTTATCTTATTCTCTGAAACCACAGCCAGCACCATCTTAAGTTCTCGGAGATAAAAACTTGTATAATTTTTGTGCAGGCTTCCAGCCTGAACCAATGTTTTGGAAAGATAACAGGCTGGTAGGCAAGCCATTCTCTTGACAAGCTGACACATATCTTCTCTAAAATAAATCAATAAATAATATTCTTAAGCTCAAAACAAGAGTGAATAAGTGAACAGTATATATGCATCCACATTTCAAGCCAGTGGCTTAATTATAACCATACTTACCATGTTCCTCAATATAGTCCACAACATGGCGAACTATGAATGGAACTTCATTGCCTGGCTGTCCTTCCTGCTGCAGTTCATCAAGTGGAATTCCAAATATTTTGTTAGCGAGAACAGAGTTGCAGTTACTCAAGGAAGGGGAGGAGCTCTTCCTCATATCTTTATGCAGCCCAATATCAAAGCTGTCTTTCTGTAAAATAAACAGTTGAAGACTCATATCCTTTAACGAAATGCTATTTAACATATGAACACCCATCACTTCATGAACACAGTGGCAGGTGATGAGATGACACGTACGTGTACAGAGTAAACACCAATGTAACTGTGGGACACTAGCTGTCACCATGAAGGTCCCTTCTGCTCTGAGGAAAGGAGGGCATCTTGTCATTGGTGATTCCCAACTGTCCATCAAGGAGGCAGGACTACTGTATCCTAGGTAGAAGTCACCTATTGATTAAGTTCAGTAACTCCCAAAGCAGTACCTCTGCTAGAAAAACTTAAGCAACTCTCAACTTATTAAACGTTAGAGAATCTTGAAATGGAAACAGGAAGCTTGTGAGGGGAAGAACAGAAAAACTGAATTATGCCTCCATTAAAGGTAAGGTGCAGCAAGATGCCTTCCCTCCTTCCAAGCAGAAAGCACCCTCATGGTAATTACCAATGTTTCATTCTTGCTCTAAGAAGGCAGGCATCTTGTCATGGGACTTTAAAAAGCAGTTGTATCCCATGTTGAGCAGGTAGAGCTAATTGTTCCACCTAAACCATGTTCTGCAGAACCCTCCTGCCAAAGGCTGAATCAGTTGAGGCAAGGGTATTCAATTATGTAATGCTTAACAAAGGAACAGACAGATGACCATGTAGGTGCCTTGCAGAACTCTTTGGCCAAAGCCTGAGCTTCCAGTGCTGTATTGCTAGCTGCACTTTGATGTTGTAACCTGGAATCTGGAGAAGAATCTGCAAAGATGGTGGTTGTCTGAGGCAAAAAGATCCACTACCAGTTACAACTTGGAGGAACACCTACTTTTTAAGTGACCACTAGGGATGAGCATGCGATTTGGTTTTTTTTTCTTTTCAATATTTTTTATTGAAATTTTTTAGAATACATTCCAGTACAATATAATAACAAAATACGTAATCCAGCATTACATAAACAGCTTAAACATAGGTTAGGTGTATAACACATGCTACCTCTAAACCTAACTAAGTTTTCTTACTTTTTCTTTTACATGTCTAGATATGAGAAGTCAGATGTATAGATATCCCTAGTTGAATAGCATTATTTTAAATTTTGCATTGGCTATGTCTGACCAATACACCAGTATTGTCTGACCACAAACCAATACACCAGTTCGCAAGCCAAACTGGTTTGTGAGCCAATTAAAGTTTGAACTCCTGTTTCAGTTTAAAGCTTAAAAAGTGGTGGGGAGCAGAAAGCAAGGGGTTTAAATGGTTCCAAGCCATTTCACCCCCTTTATGCTCCCTGTGGCATTTCAAGGGGGGACAGAAAGCAGGGGTTTCAATAGTTCCAAGCCATTTAAACTAAACAGTTGAGCTGTTTTTCATGAAGAGCAGAAAGCAGGGGCTTAAATGGCTTAAAGCCATTTAAAATGCTGCTTTCTGCACTTCAAAAACCACCACGAACTTCATCAAAATTCATGGAAGCTCTTCAGTTCACGAACATCACTCCATGAACCCCAAGCCACAAATTGAATCCGACGAATCCGATCCTGTGTCAAAGTCCGAGCGGCCCAAGGTTAGGGATCCCACTCCCAACCTTTGATGGGGCGCCATTGGTGCCAGCATCAGAGGTTAGGAGTGCTCCTGGATGCCTCCTTAACAATGGAGGCCCAGGTAGCAGCCACTGCCAAATCAACCTTCTATCATCTTCGGCTGATTAGTCCCTTCCTTGAACGTGATAACCTGGCAACAGTGATCTATGCAATGGCCACCTCGAGACTAGACTGCTGTAATGCTCTCTACATGGGGCTGCCCTTGTCCCAAATCCAGAAGCTACAGCTAGTGCAGAATGTGACGACCAGGCTGTTATGGGGTCTCCCTTTTAGAGAGCACATTCAGCCTGTGCTGAAAGCACTGCACTGGCTACCTATAGCATACTGGGTTCGCTTCAAGGTGCTGGTTCTTACCTATAAAGCCCCTATATGGCCAGGGGCCTGCATACCTGAGGGACCACTTTTCCCCATATGTTCCCCAGATGGTACTGTGATCAGGTTCACAAAACCTTCTTGTTCTCCCTGGCATGAAAGACACCAGGCTGGCCACAAGTAGGGCCAGGGCCTTTTCTGTGGCTGCTGCGCTTTAGTGGAACAAACTCCCGGAAGACATCAGGGCCCTGCGGGACTTAAAATTTCACAGGGCCTTCAAGACAGAGCTCTTCCACCAAGCGTTCAAGTAAGAAGCCACAGTTAATGGCCTACCATCAAGTCATGAAATCTATTCTTACAATCCACTTTGGCCACCTGTTTTAACACCTCTGCCCATACTACAGAACAAAACGCTAAAGAACTAGACACCAGTCGCTATTTTCTCTTATGGTGGCCGATCGGACAGCTTTGCCATTTCATGTATGTTGCATTTTAAATTATTTGAACTGTTTTTAATTTGTTTAAATGGTTTTATTGTTTATGAAGGCAAATGGTCACCCTGAGCCTGCCTCAGCGGGGAGGGCGGGGTATAAATCAAATAAATAAACTGCCCAAAATTTGTGACCATCCCTAGTGACCATTCATTGTTTTCCATGTCATCAACTCAGCCAATCCACTTAAACCACTGTGAGGTCTATGGAGGCTGAGAAATTCTGCGGCATCAGGGCTTCAGTGATGGACTGAAGGGTCTCCCATCATAAAATGTTTGTGTACCACAAACTCTTACATCTAATATTGCACGACAGTCCTTATTCTTTTGGGGAACCATGAAGAATACTGAATACAGACCTGATGATCTTTTGCATGAGGGAACTTGCTCTATAACCCTGATGTTCTTGAGGTGATACAGGACTTTTGTAGTTCACAGGTGCTTTTCCTTCTTTTTGGACCATGGAGACTGTAGGAATCATTCTGGGGGAAGGACAGTGCTTGAACTCTGTGAAGTAACCCAACAGACCATGTCCCAAACCTATTGATCCACATGGGATAAGTTCCATTGCTGATGGAACTAAGCTAACCACCACCCAACTTGTGGGAGGATGGCATCAGGATCCTCTCTGTTGGGGACTGTACCAATTGTCAGGACTGAAGGGCTGGTTGCCCCTGGCCTGGTTGTAACCTTGCCTGGCTTGTTTGCACCTATGCCAGTTGGGTCTGTGCTGGTCATTTCTAAAGAGTGGAAGAGTGTGTTGGCTGTAAAAGGAGTGAGATGCGTTAGAGAGTCTGTCATCCCTTTTATATGATCTGGGCATGACTTTCTTTTTATCCCTGGTTCCTACCAGGCTTGTCACCCTGAAACAGAAAGGATACTAGGATCAGTTTAGATTGTCAGCTTGTCATATGCAGAACTGCAGATTTCTGCACACTCCCACTGCTGATGCCAATGATTTGGAAGAAAAGCACAAGGTTTCTAGGATCACATCTGCTATGAAAGCAACAGCTTCACACAGCATGTTAGCTCCCTCTCTGGTCTTCTTATTGTCCTCTGGGAAGAAGGAGGAGGAGGAGGAGGCGGTGGCTGAGGAGGAGGAGGAGGAGGCGGCAGCTGGATTTATACCCTACCCTTCACTTGGAGTCTCAGGGGGGCTTACAAACTCCTTTCCCTTCCCCTCCCCACAACAGGTACGCCCTGTGAGGTAGGTGAGGTTGAGAGAGCTCTGACAGAAACAGCAGTGGAGAGGTTTCCCATCGAAATCCATTGTTCACAAAATGACATCCTGGCTGAGCAGTTTCCAGATTCCTCTGGGTCTCAGCACCTATGTTTGCTTTTGCGGGGCTCAACTAGCCCAGCTGTGTGGGAGATCAGTCCCTGCCCCCTAATTTGAGAAGGAACAGGGGGTTCCCATCCTCCATGAAGAGAACACTATCTGAGGTTTCAAAGTCTCTTACTCCTCCTGTTGCCTCAGTCATGCCTCATAGAGAGGAGAAAGGTAGAAAAAGGGGACAAAGAGTGAAGAAAGGAGATGAGTAAAGGAAGGTAAACCAGCCAAAAGATAAGGAAGGAAAAGGTTGTAACTTGTAGGGGTCCAGTTCTCAGAGTTCCTACTAAAAGCCTGTGCTCTCTAGTAAGGCCTAGCACACAAACTGAATCAATGGGTGACTCTCACATTGAAGACAAGAAGTTTGAGTTCTAGTCCTGCATGGACAGCTGGTAATCATCCATGACAAGATGCCCTCCCCCTCAAAGTGAGAACCTGTCTATCACATCAAGCACAGATATTTTCAACAGAGAAGGTTCACACGTTCAGCTGCAAACTATTAATTATTAACTAATTAAACAATGTGAAATCAAGTGACATACATACTTATGCGAACACACCTCAAGACATTACAATTTTATGCAAGCATGCATGTGTAAATTAGGGTACATATATTCAGAGGAGCAGGTGCAGGTCTTTCAACTGTAAGGTGAGCTTCATCCCCTACCCCTTTGTACACACATGCAGCCTTGCATAAAGCCAGGGCTCCCATTTCTTAGGGGAAGCTGTCCTCTTTATTGTTTGTTTTGTTGTTCATCCTCTCCAGTGTTTGTTCAACCTTTTTAAAAGCTCTTTTGATGTTTATTTAAACTTTAAAATTTGCTCAAATAGAAAGATGGTTTTATTAGTGACACCAGAGCCAGCCAACCAAACTGTGTGTTGCTCAGCTCCGAGAGGGGGAAGTTCCTTCTTGACTAAAACATGGGCCAGGAGATCAATGCTATGCAAATACTGTTTGTATTACAAACTAGTAAAACAGGTTCAGCCTTAGACCAATCTTCAGAGAACTATGGGTGTCAGATATGTGAAAAGTGCACTTCCACAGCAACCTTGCCATTGAAATGCTATACATCTGCAGCACCCGTTTTTGAGATAACTAATCCAAGTTAAGCAACAAAAACTGCAATCCTAAAAACACATTCCTAGGAATAAGCCCCAGTGAATAAAATGGGACCTACTACGAGGTGGTATACATCAGTAAGACAAACTTATACCATTTCCATATTTCATGAAATCTTAACTATATCCCAAATGAATATGAATGCAAAGTTTCCACTTTGTTGTCTAAATCTTAGTGTTCATCATCAGCTTCATATGCTCATGTCTAAACCTTAGTGTCCATCATTGAGTGTCATGCGTATTCATTTGATATTCGCCAGCACTTTTTGCAAATATATTCTGAAACAATTTATTTTTGATTATGTTGCCTGTATTTACTTAAGAGAAAATATTATGATAAACATGTGCTCTTATACGACGTTGAACATTTAATGACTAGTACGCAAGATTACAACACACCTCTAGAATTCAGAAAATAAACAGTGCTTTATAGAAAAAATTCAATGGCAAACCCCAGCAATAACTGCTCTGAGGACGGATTAATTATGACCAATAAACTGCAGGAAGCACTGATGTTGTCGGTTCCCTATAACCACAGCAAACTATGGCCAAATAAAAGGATTCTCCAGAATTTTATCCAGAGTGTTCAGGATGTAGCCTTGGAACGAGTCAATGTCCTGTCACTTAAGCATTCTTTTCACTGAGCCCTGCACAACGTAACAACAAGAGACATTCCATATGTATTTGAAAGCAGTGGCATGTATTCTATCAGTCCACTGAGCAAAGTCTGAAGCCTTCCTCCAGCCTCAGGAGTCTTCCTCCAATAAACAGCCACTTAACTTGGAAGACGGCTGGAGGATGCCGGAACTTCCTCCATCATAAATTAAAATATATACCACAATCTCCTTGACCCTGCATGTTATTACAACCAGTAAAGTCTGCCCTATCATGTAGGCTTAGGAAACGCTGTATTCAAAGTTGTTTCAATTCAGTTATGCAGCACCACACCTGATGACAATAGGGGCACAAGAACCAGAGGCTTGTTGCTAAACTGACAGCAGGTACAGACCTGGAAACTATATCATCTGATTCACACCTGTACCTCAACATTTTAGCTTACGTTAAATTGGATTGATGTCAAATACATCTAACTTCTTTATTTTCAAACTGTAGCTTCAAAGAAAGAACATGACCCCTATTAGAACAGAAAATAGCTTTTTAAGCATAGGAAGGTTAAAAACATTACAAATCAATACAGGTTTTATAGTGAGATTACAGACATCACAACTGGGGCAAGGGAAAAATTAAAAGTTAGGTATAAAACTGAATTCACACTCATAGTTCTTGAAGATTCCTATTAAATTACTTCAAAATGCTTTCAGTTATGCTCGCTCTTGTAGGGTTATCCCAACGAACTGCAAACTGTTTTGAAATTAATAGGTCCTCAAGAAATTTATTTCAAGAAAAAAACGTTAACATCTGAGAAAACCTACCTCAGAGCACTTAAACACCTATGTTTACAAAATATTTTCTATGCCAGCTACCCTTACTGACCAAGCATTCTTTTGTCATTTATGGTTGCTTGAGGTTATGGCAGAAGATCAGCCTGTAGTTCCTCATTGAAGAAGAGGAAAACTCGATCAGTACCTCAGCTGTTAACCTGAAAAACATATACACAAAAGAGAGATATTAAAACACTCTAAATTTTACAAATATCAAAAGAATTCTCAGGACCAAGGCTGAAAACAGTAATGCTGACATACCATTCTGAGTCAGATCCTGTGTACCTTTACCTTCCCCTTGTAGTCCTACTGTGAGTGGCAAAAAGGAGATGCCAGGGCTTGGAGGACCCAACATAGTCCTAAAGCCAGACAACACAGGCGTTGGCAATGAAGGGAGTTTTAATCCAATTTTTAAAAAAAATTCTGCAAACTGGAGGTTTCCCTCACATTTGTAGAAAAATCTCCCCTGCCTGCGGATCTGGTGCATGAATTTTTCTATCTATACTCTATGGTCTAGTTCAGAATTAGATCTATGATGTACAATGGAAAACATGTACTCAGCATATATAAAGTCCAGCAACTATGTCTCTTAGGGAGATTATCTTGCAATGAGCGGAGAGCATACATCATACAACCAGCTCTGAATGACCCTATCAGCAACTGCTTTATTGTTTCATAGCATGTAATTATCAATATTATCTGTTGCAGAACAAACAGTTAATACTGAAAGTAATACACAAACAGGAAAAGACTCATAGTTACATCATCAGGTTGTTAAGTTAGTACTTTGTTCCGTCTTCATAAAATTTCTGGGGTTAACAACAGATAAAGCAGTAGAAAATTAAACCAGAAATTCTAGTCTATGGATTGGATTTAATGGACAACTGCACAAAATCACTTTACCCCTTCCCCTTCTAGCTAGCACCAGTTGCCAGCAGAAGAGTAAGCAATTTTGCCTAACAAGTTTAGAATCCAATGGCACCTTCAAGACCAACAAAGGTTTATTCAAGGTATGAGCTTTCATGTGCATGCACACTTTATCAAATAATAAATAATATTTGATAAAGTGTGCATGCACATGAAAGCTCATACCTTGAATAAACCTTTGTTGGTCTTAAAGGTGCCATTGGACTCTAGATTTGTTGTACTGCTTCAGACCAACACTGTTGACCAACTGGATCAATTTTGCCCAGTTGCCTTTCCTTATCCCAGCTATGTACTACAGTGTATTTTATTCACAAATGTCCCCCAGCTAGAGCTATGGGGCAGAAAATTTTACAGTATTTTATTTTTCCATGAAAAATGTTCAATTTCTAAAAATCACTGCTTCCTAATATTAACAACAACGAATGAATATCATGGCTAATTCAAAAACCAGGCAAGTGTAGTAGTTTTAAAGTGATAATTAATGTTTTTCAGGTGATTATCCCTACGAAACATGAGAGAGTGTACATGTATGGTTTATTTATTAGTAAACGGGAGGGGAGAAAACCAAAAATGCACAGTGAAACTGAGGTGCCCCAGTGAGGAAAATTACATTCCATATACATGGCATGTACCATGCACAGTTCTTAGGGTACACTAAGATTAATATGTAAACTGTTTCAGTTTATTTCCTTTTTCTTAAACTTATGCCTTTATATTGATTATGTGATATATATTTTTCAAGTATTATTCTAATAAGAAATTATTTCCACAAAAATATCTTAATTTGTTTGAATGCATAAACCACACTTGACTTACTTTTTCCTTCAATTAATCGACTATTTTAGTTCAAGTATTTATTGCTATAGGGACATAAAAGTAACATGGGGTACTTTAAAATTTTTGTTTACTATAATTATTCAGTTTATGACTCGCCCTCCCCTGCTACCACAGGGTTCAAGGTAACAACATTTTAATAACAATAACAATCATAAGTTAATTAAGATATATAAGGCAAAATAAAAGTGTTAAATCAGAAAATGCCATATTTAGGGCACTGGAAAATTTTCTGATTCGTATTTTTTGGGAAATCAACACTATCATCCCCAACCTTTAGAGAGGAAAAAAGACAGGTTGCTTACCTGTAACTGGTGATCTTCGAGTGGTCATCTGTGCATTCACACCCTTGGGATATACTGCGCCTGCGCTGACCTTCTCGGTACCGGTAGCTAGCAAAAGGGATTTTCGCGCCTCTCCCAGGTCACGCGCCGGCTCCACTGCGCATGACCAAGGAGGGGCACGCAGATCCCGCCAGTTCCTTCTGACCGCCGCCCAACAGCCTTCAAAGAAACAAGATGAAGGGCCGAGAGCAGAGGGGAAGGAGGGCGGGTGGTGTGAATGCACAGATGACCACTCGAAGATCACCAGTTACAGGTAAGCAACCTGTCTATCTTCTTCGTGGTCTCTGTGCATCACACCCTTGGGAGAATAGCAAGCAATAACTCTTACCTGGAGGAGGGGCCGAGGCCCTACATCTGCGCCGTCTGCAATATAGACCGACCCAACGCCACACGACGAGAAGACCGGACATCAAGGGCATAATGCTTCACGAAGGTGAGCGGAGTAGCCCAAGTCGCAGCGTTGCAGATGTCCTCCAACGGCATACCTCGCAGGAAAGCTGTGGAAGTTGCTACCGCCCTCGTAGAGTGGGCGCGAAGCTGACCTGGAAGAGGTTTCTTAGCCAAAGCGTAGCAGAGCTTGATCACCTCCACAATCCATCTCGACAGCCTCTGGGAAGAGATCTTTTTCCCTTGGGAGGGCATACTGTGAGCAACAAACAAAGCTGGAGACTGGCGAAAAGACTTAGTCCTGCCCAAATAGAACAACAACGCTCTCTTAACATCCAGAGAATGCAATTTCCGTTCCTCTTCATTAGCAGGAGACGGGAAAAACGATGGCAGAACTACATCTGAACGTTCCTGGCAGATGGGCAGCTTGGAGAGTGATATTCCGATGAAGGCACTCTTCCCATATGTCCATAGCTAGCCTGCAAAGGGATCTGGACACTGTCCCGCCCTGGCGATTGATATAAGCCATTGCAGTTGTATTGTCCGTAAATATTAACACAGCTTTCCCTGCAACCTGTTTGTGCAAGGATCTGAGGGCAAATTTTACGGCCAGCAGTTCCAGATAGTTGATGTGATGACGTTTCCAAAGGGGCTGCCATGGAGCACCCACACAAGTGTCGTCCGTATGAGCACCCCAACCCCACAGGGAGGCGTCTGTGGTGATCGACATCACGGGAACAATCGGTTGGAACGGTGCACCCGCCAGCAAATTGGTGTCCACGAGCCACCACTGCAGGGAGGTAAGGACCTGAGGAGGCACGACTAGTCGAAGACTTGGGGGGTGAAAGGAGGGGCGAAATTTCTTTAGAAACCAAAGCTGCAACGGACGCATGCGAAGGCGTGCACACTCGATCACAGAGGTGGTGGCTGCCATGAGACCCAGGATCCGCTGAACGTGGACTGCTGATGTCACATTGGATCGGAACAAACGTCGAATTTCCAGACGAATGGTATCTGCCCGTTGGCGAGGAAGGTAGGCCCGAGTGGCCAGGGAATCTATGACAGCTCCTATGAACTGCACGCGAGTTGCAGGTTGCAGCATGGATTTCTGCAAATTGACTAGAATTCCAAGGGAGGATAGGGTCGACAGTGTAATGGTGATGTGCTGAAGGAGACAGTCCTTTGAATCTGCCACCATTAACCAGTCGTCTATGTACGGAAAAATCTGAATGCCCTGAAGACGAAGGTGGGCGACGACAACCACCATTACCTTCGTGAAAACCCTGGGGGCGGTAGAGAGCCCGAAGGGGAGGGCTTTGAATTGATAATGGTCCTCTCCGACCGTGAATCTGAGGAATTTTCTGTGACGAGGATGGATGGAGACGTGAAAATAAGCGTCTTTGAGATCTAAAGTGACCATCCATGTCCCTGGAGGCAGGAGTGGTAAAATACTTTGCAAAGTGGTCATACGAAACTTTTTGTAAACAATGAATCGATTGAGAAATCTTAGATCCATAATTGGACGAAGTCCTCCGTCCTTCTTGGGGACCGTGAAATATCTGGAATAAATCCCGTGGCAACGATCTGCCGCCGGGACTATCTCTATAGCGTTTTTCAGTGACAGAGATCGTACTTCTTGCATCAGGACAGGTGACGTTGGAGTTCCGACGAAATGGGAAATTGTGGGGATTTGAGAAAACTCTATGAGATAGCCATCTCTTATTATAGAGTGAACCCATTTGTCTGTAGAAATGTCCAGCCATGCGTGAAGAAAGGGAGCGAGGCGAGTATGAGCAGTAAGGCTGAAGTCAAAGCCCCTGTTTGGGATTCTTGGGAAACTTCGACTTATAGGCACCCGATGATTGTCCTTTATTCTTAGGGGGAAAAGACCTTGACTGAGAAGAGGGAGGTCTTTGCCATTGATCCGTAGGCGATTTGTTGTACGGTTGTCTAGAAGACCAAGATTGTCTAGGCCATTGCTTGGTCTTAGGGTATTTAGTTGGGGGAGAGATTCCCAGACTTTTAGACGTCTTGATACTCTTATCCATTTCCTGTAATACCGTATCAGTGGTGGAACTAAACAGTCCAGAGCCTTCAAAAGGAAGGTCCTCCACCGACGATCTGGTATCATATGGCAATGAGGAGGAACGGAGCCAGGCATGTCTGCGTAGGGCTACGGAAGTTGCTAGAGTCTTGCTAGCAGATTCCAAGGAATGCTTGGCAGCACTAATTTGATGTCTAGCCAGTACCATCCCTTCATTTTGAAGCCTCTTAATCTGAGGCTGACATTCCTTTGGTACATGTGGAAGGAAGTCGTTTAAGCGTTTCCACAAATTGAACTGATAGCGGCCCATGCAGGCTGCATAATTTGCCGTTTTAATGCCCATTGCACCGACAGTGTAAAATTTTCTGCCCACCGAGTCCAACTTCTTTCCTTCCTTATCTGATGGCGTTGAGTGACTCGATTTTCCTTTCGTGGACGACGATACGACCAAAGAATTGGGTTTAGGATGCGTGTATAGAAACTCAGCCCCAGATTCTTGGATCTTGTACATGTGATCCAGACGTTTATTGGATACAGTAATGGAGGCTGGATGGGTCCAAAAGTCCTTAGTAGTTTGTAAGAGGACTTTTGTCATTGGAAGAGCCACAGAAGGCGAAGTGTT